TAGGATAAGTGCTGAGTGCAATGTGAAAAATATCGACGAGTCAAAAATTTCACTCGCCATAAAGTCAGTGTTTTTTTATTTGGGTTCTTCCAAAGTTGATGATTTGAAGGTTAGTCTTGTAAATACCAAGATTTGAGGGGGAACTTTTGCAAACACTAAGATTTGGAGGGCAGTTCTGCAATTACATGATTTAAGTGACATTATACAAAAAACCAAACTTTTCAAAGTGTATCTAGAGCAGTACTTGCAATTGTTTGTTACGGGGTATAGGACTTACTGGAGTTTCTACTGAGAGTTAATTGTAACAACGGTTGCTAAGTAGATCCCATTAAGGTTACAAATGCGACTCATGTTTCAATCTGCGCATGTTGTTGAATGCAATGAGGCGGCCTCTTGGAGACTATTTGTGTTAGTTCCAGTGGAAACAGTTAATGGCTGGTCCAAAATGTATCAGCCACATTTTATTGCAGCAAACCGAATAAATTTTAAGATATTACCAAAACCATGTGTATATATAAATTAAAAAATTGCAATTAAAGCCTTTATTTTTTGAATTAGGATTCAATGACAAACCTAAAACTGACAATGAGGCCTGGACCGCCTTGTTCCATTCTAATAAAGGTTCCGTGTTCAAGACCCGGCTATAAGCTTTATTCAAGAAAAATCAGCATAAAACTGAGTTAGTGAACCAATAAGGTTCCAGAACATTTTGCAACATCTTTTGATTTGCAAATGACCTGAGATTCAATGAGTAGGTGACAGATACTGGCTAAACCAAGTCACGCCTTTCTATGAGAAAACCATAAAATTATGAGCAATGACAAGTGTACATAGAAGTTATAGCACTCTTGTACTACAACACATGAAAAAGTGGGACATTTGCTTGTAAATTAAAAAGAGAAATTATAAATTCCTATCGACCCCACTTCTTTGTGTCTTGTCGTACAAGAGTAGTATAATTCTTGTGGTACACTTAGCATATTCCTAAAATTATACAATAAAAGAAGAGTTGGAAGTTGAGCCTCGTTTAAGCTCATTCTTTCGGGAGAAAAAGCCAATTACTCTCCACAGTGCTAGATGTTCTTAGAGAGATTAGAAAGGGTCAATATTATACATGACTGATATGGAAGTCGTAGTCTTCTAACTACCTTTACAATTAAAATTTCAGATAAAATAACAACATCAAAGAGATTAGATTCCTAAACATGACCTCATGAAGTCATTATATTGCATACAAGAACTTCTTCATGGATCATAAACAATTTAAAGAGACATGGTGCTTTTTTCCCAACCTACCACAAATTGATGTTAGCACAATGTGTTAAATTGCATTTGAAAAGTTTCGTAATTTTTTATGAATTGCAAGCAACTGAAATTCAATAAGCATTAATGCATGTGGGCATGACGTGGATGGTAAATATTTCAATTATAATGATACAAACAGCATAATGTAAATTGGGAAGTATGTGCACGAGATAAATTTAGGCAGTTTTATGCCAAATGAAAATGAAATTAATTTCACTCATTCACATAATTTCGTTGAACGCAATCCTGTCTGCATCATCTTACAGTTAGAGTTTATATATACAACTCTACGAAGAATGCAAAAAAAAAAAAAGTGTGTACCAATTGTAGCTTCTGTTTCTCCTGTGCCTGGACAGCCTTTAAAAGCTCAGCAAGATCACCACGACATAAATCTGGCCTTAGTAGAAAGGATTCCATCTCAATGACCTGAAAGAAAAATTAAGTTCATCTCCATAAATATGTAATTCAATATGTATACAAGGATAATTTTTTCAAAATCCTGTGATTCACCTGTTTTGAACATTCATTGAACTCTCCTGTAATCTCGCCACAAAGGTGTTGATAAGCAATCTCCCCTCCACCAGCCATATATTGGCTAAAACCACTAATAACAAAAGATTCCATTATGAACACTGATCTCAAGAATTTTTAATCCTATAAAATGCTAATAGAACTATAAAAGTTAAAAATGATCTGCGGAAAGCGAAAAAGAAGGAAATTTTATATATCAATGCCAACATTAAAGACTACAAAAGAGAATGGGACGTGAATCCATACTTTGTACACACACACACACACTACTCATAAAAGAGAATATGGGTGTCAAATTTTTTGACTTCCTATTTTGCCCCCTCTTAATATTTACAATTCCTAAGTTGATAATTCTCCAATTCACTTAATAATCCATTATCCCTCATCCACTAGCATTAATTCAATGCATAAATCTTTTATTAGGAATTTTAATGCATAACGTTTTTTATTATGAAAAGCATAAGTTAGTCAATTCAATTAACCACAATCCACTGTGATTACCTTTGAACTTCTGATGTAAAGATCGACATTCACTATTTTCAAAATTGTAGACTTAAATGCAATTGCCCTTTCAATTACTTTCGCTGATCATTACTCCTTTTGTTCAAACAATGAAGACTTACTTAACCTCCACAAGTATAATGCATGTGCTTTGCAAGTGGATGTACTTCTCATATGTTCCGAATTCTATTTGTAAATAAAAAATTATGAAGCTAACTCGAAGGAAAAAAAATTAAAAATGTAGAGTAAAGCATTGGAAAGAGGTGTTAGAACTAATACATATTAAATATTTAGGGTTTTTTATTTCTAGGCCCATTTGTTTACTCATCTTTACCTCTAAGCCCAATAACTATTCTTAAACCCAAGTTTCTTTTTGTTTTTGCCTTTAAACCCAATTTCTAAAATACTGTATATACAACAAGTTTCTTTTTGTTTTTGCCTTTAAACCCAATTTCTAAAATACTGTATATACAACACTGGTATTCATACCCAAACATGATAAAAACCCTAAAATACCCTTCAATACCCCCACTTAAACCAGACCCCCCCCTCTCTCTCTCCTCATTTTCCTTCTTCCTCTGGTCTTCGTCTTCCTCCTTCCTCAAGGCTTTGTCTTCCTCCTCCGATCCCACCTCTCATGCCCCCTCTAAGAAATCGAAGAAGAAAGGAAGAAAGGCCCATGATTTTAGTGCTTGATGTCTTGAAAAGGCCCACGACGGATCTCGAGGCAGCCGGACACACCTCCACCCTCTCCAACGAGACACTACAATTCTTCAACGATCAACAAGATGCTTGATGATTTTGGCTTCGGGATCTCTTTCGATGACGAGGAGGAGTGATTTCGTGTGAAATCTCATTTCTATATACTCGATTAGGGTTAGGGTCGGGGTCGGGGTTGGGGGGTTAGGGTTAGTTCATTGATGTTCTTTTGTGCTATCCCTTTTTGTTGAACTAAATCTAATTGTAGAATTGGTTTTATCAATTTATGAATGTATCGTTTCTGTTGAACTAAATCTAATTTGTACACAATAGATTTGCAAAGCAAGAGGTGTGAAATCTGGAGAATCTGGAATTTTGTACCTGTAAATTTTGCTTATAAAGAGTTGGAGAGTATGGAGCTTGCTTTGAAGATTGTGAAAGAGAAATTGCTGGGTAGAGTTAATGGAGTCAGTTATGCTATATGTACATTTTGAAGATTTGTGCAATTTTGAAGATTTGTAACATTTTGTAAAGTCTGGAGCTTGCCTTGAATATAATATCAGTTATATTATGTACATTTTGAAGATTTGTAACATTTTTGAAAGCCTGGAGCTTGCCTTGAATATATGATCAGTTATGCTATGTTTTTTATGAAGATTTGTAACATTTTAAAAAGTCTAGAGCTTGCCTTGAATATATGATTAGTTATGCTAAGTATATTTTGAAGATTTGTGTAATTTTGGAGTTTGATTTGTAACATATTGTTTCAGATTGTAAGTTTTTGAAAGTAGATAATAAAAGTGTTGTTAGTGCAATATCGTTATTGTTTGTGCAATTTTGGAGTTTGTAAGACTGGAATTTTGTACAATTTTGTGAGTGCTATTTTGTGAAATTTTGTGTAATTTTATGAGTGCTATTTTGTTCTTGTGCAATTTTGTGAGTGCAACCAAGTGTGATAAACTGCAGATCTCTTTGATTGTAAGTGTAGCATGATAAATTCAAAGTGTAGCGTGATAACCTGTAAGTGTAGCGTGGTAGACTGTAAGTGTAGCATGGTAGACTGTACAGGATAACACGCTACACTTACAGGATAACCCGCTACACTTACAGGATAACCCGCTACACTTACAGGATAACCCGCTACACTTACAGGATAACCCGCTACACTTACAGTCTAACCCGCTACACTTACAGCATAACACGCTACACTTACGGTCTAACCCGCTACACTTACAGCATAACACGCTACACTTACAGTCTAACACGCTACACTTACAGCATAACACGCTACACTTACAGGATAACCCGCTACACTTACAGTCTAACCCGCTACACTTACAGCATAACACGCTACACTTACGGTCTAACCCGCTACACTTACAGGATAACAAGCTACACTTACAGCATAACACGCTACACTTACAGTCTAACACGCTACACTTACAGGATAACCCGTTACACTTACAGGATAACACGCTACACTTACAGGATAACCCGCTACACTTACAGCATAACACGCTACACTTACAGCATAACACGCTACACTTACAGCATAACACGCTACACTTACAGAATAACCCGCTACACTTACAGTCTAACACGCTACACTTACAACATAACACGCTACACTTACAGGATAACCCGCTACACTTACAGCATAACGCGCTACACTTACAGGATAACACGCTACACTTACAGCATAACACACTACACTTACAGGATAACACGCTACACTTACAGGATAACATGCTACACTTACAGTCTAACCCGCTACACTTACAGCATAACACGCTACACTTACGATCTAACCCGCTATACTTACAGCATAACACGCTACACTTACAGTCTAACCCGCTACACTTAAAGTCTAACCCGCTACACTTAAAGTCTAACCCGTTACACTTACAGGATAACCCGCTATATTTGTAGTGTAACACGCTACACTTACAGGATAATCCGCTATACTTACAAATAACCCGTTACACTTGTAGTGTAACACGCTACACTTACAGATAACCCGCTACATTTACAGATAAGTGTAGCGTGTTATGCTGTAAGTGTAGCGTGTTATCCTGTAAGTGTAGCGTGTTATGCTGTAAGTGTAGCGTGTTATCCTATAAGTGTAACGTGTTATGCTGTAAGTGTAGCGTGTTATCCTGTAAGTGTAGCGGGTTATGCTGTAAGTGTAGCTTGTTATCCTGTAAGTGTAGCGTGTTATGCTGTAAGTGTAGTGGGTTATCCTGTAAGTGTAGCGTGTTAGACTGTAAGTGTAGCGTGTTATCCTGTAAGTGTAGCGGGTTATGCTGTAAGTGTAGCGTGTTAGACTGTAAGTGTAGCGTGTTATGCTGTAAGTGTAACGTGTTAGACTGTAAGTGTAGCGTGTTATGCTGTAAGTGTAGCTTGTTATCCTGTAAGTGTAGCAGGTTAGACCGTAAGTGTAGCGTGTTATGCTGTAAGTATAGCGGGTTATCCTGTAAGTGTAGCGGGTTATCCTGTAAGTGTAGCGGGTTATCCTGTAAGTGTAGCGGGTTATCCTGTAAGTGTAGCGGGTTATCCTGTAAGTGTAGCGGGTTATCCTGTAAGTGTAGCGGGTTATCCTGTAAGTGTAGCGGGTTATCCTGTAAGTGTAGCGGGTTATCCTGTAAGTGTAGCGTGTTATCCTGTACAGTCTACCATGCTACACTTACAGTCTACCACGCTACACTTACAGTCTACCACGCTACACTTACAAGTTATCACGCTACACTTTGAATTTATCATGCTACACTTACAATCAAAGAGATCTGCAGTTTATCATACTTGGTTGCAATCACAAAATTGCACAAGAACAAAATAACACTCATAAAATTACACAAAATAGCACTCACAAAATTGCACAAAATTCTAGTCTTACAAACTCCAAAATTGCACAAACAATAACGATATTGCACTAACAACACTTTCATTATCTACTTTCAAAAACTTACAATCTGAAACAATATGTTACAAATCAAACTCCAAAATTACACAAATCTTCAAAATATACTTAGCATAACTAATCATATATTCAAGGCAAGCTCTAGACTTTTTAAAATGTTACAAATCTTCACAAAAAAACATAGCATAACTGATCATATATTCAAGGCAAGCTCCAGGCTTTCAAAAATTTTACAAATCTTCAAAATGTACATAATATAACTGATATTATATTCAAGGCAAGCTCCAGACTTTACAAAATGTTACAAATCTTCAAAATTGCACAAATCTTCAAAATGTACATATAGCATAACTGACTCCATTAACTCTACCCAGCAATTTCTCTTTCACAATCTTCAAAGCAAGCTCCATACTCTCCAACTCTTTATAAGCAAAATTTACAGGTACAAAATTCCAGATTCTCCAGATTTCACACCTCTTGCTTTGCAAATCTATTGTGTACAAATTAGATTTAGTTCAACAGAAACGATACATTCATAAATTGATAAAACCAATTCTACAATTAGATTTAGTTCAACAAAAAGGGATAGCACAAAAGAACATCAATGAACTAACCCTAACCCCCCAACCCCGACCCCGACCCTGACCCTAACCCTAATCGAGTATATAGAAATGAGATTTCACACGAAATCACTCCTCCTCGTCATCGAAAGAGATCCCGAAGCCAAAATCATCAAGCATCTTGTTGATCGTTGAAGAATTGTAGTGTCTCGTTGGAGAGGGTGGAGGTGTGTCCGGCTGCCTCGAGATCCGTCGTGGGCCTTTTCAAGACATCAAGCACTAAAATCATGGGCCTTTCTTCCTTTCTTCTTCGATTTCTTGGAGGGGGCATGAGAGGTGGGATCGGAGGAGGAAGACAAAGCCTTGAGGAAGGAGGAAGACGAAGACCTGAGGAAGAAGGAAAATGAGGAGAGAGAGAGGGGGGGTCTGGTATTGAAGGGTATTTTAGGGTTTTTATTATGTTTGGGTATGAATACCAGTGTTGTATATACAGTATTTTAGAAATTGGGTTTAAAGGCAAAAACAAAAAGAAACTTGGGTTTAAGAATACAAAGAATAGTTATTGGGCTTAGAGGTAAAGATGAGTAAACAAATGGGCCTAGAAATAAAACACCCAAATATTTATTGTAATGGCTATATTAATATTCAAATGTTGACATTATGTATTTGTTAGCAAACTTATTATGTTAGGTTGGTCGAATCTAATTTATTTGCTGAAAATTGAAGAAAATAGCCTATTACAATGAACAGATTTGAGAATAGGCAACTAGCTATAAATGAATACGTAATATACTAATATCATGAAAGTAGAAAATAGAGAAAGCATAAAAAGTAGAAAGACATTAGAAAAAGAAAACTAAAACTTCAATAATATTTTGTTCAAAAAACCCAATAAATGTTAGAATTAAGTAACTTTAAGTAGTAGAATGTACATTAAGGCAATATAAGAGCAATCTTAACTGTCACACATTTAAAAACTGATTAAAATAGGGTAAATTTCACAAAACTCACTAATATTTTGAAGTGTTTTGCATAATACCCCCAATATTCTGTTATCCCACTTAACTTGCAAAACTCTGAAGTGTCTTAGATAATCTCCATGTACTTTAACTGTTCCCACTCAACTTCCAAAACTCTGAAGTATCTCAGATAACCCCCTATACTTTGGACTTTTCCCACAAAACTTTTTAGGGTTATTTGAGGCACCTTGGGATCTTGAGGGGTTAAGTGATAAAGTTTAAAAATAATGTTTTAGGAGGGTTAAGTAGGAAAACTTATGGGGGTTAAGTGGGAAAAACATATTATTAGTTAATTATTAGTCAATGAGTACATTACTCAATTCAAATAACCTTAATCCATTGTGATTTCCTTTTCAAGTTCTGATGTAAGACTGACATTCACTATCCTCAAAGTTGTAGACTTAAATGCAATTGCCCTTTAACTACTTTCGCGGATCATTACTCCATTCATTCAAACCTTGAAGACTTACTTAACCTCCATTATTTATTCAATGCAGAAGTTCTAACATATTGCCCATTTTATTTTTTTTTCCATATTTTGTAGCTGTATGAAATTGGGAATATATGCTCTTCAATTCTTTGGATGGTCTCCCTCCCTCTCTATCTCTCCCCACTCTCTTTCATTATTTTCTAACATGGGTTGTATTTTTGTCTCTTTGCAGGTCAATTGCTCTCATCAAAATCATGATTGATCTCACAGCAACGAGATCATTCCATAGACCTTATAGCTCCATTGGAGATCTAATTTGTAATTCTTTTCAATTTTCAAAACATTTTATATAATTCCTCTTTATCCCTTCATATTTTATTTTATTCCTTCTCATTTTTACTCCTCCATATTTTATTTGATTTCATATTTTATGTCATCAGGGTCTGAAACAATTTCATTCTAAGTTATACTTGCGACCATCGGTAAGATTTTTTCCCACTTTTATTTTCTTCTTTTGTAATTATTTTTAAATGTGTATGTTAGTTGTATAAAATCGAGTGTATATAAATTTGATGGTTATATATACACACACACATATATAAATTATATAATATGTTTAATTTTACTGAGATAAAAAATATATATTGATAAATAATAATATCATATATAAAATAATAATATTAAACAAATAATAATATCATATAATATTTTAAAAGAATATTTTTGAAATAATATTAAACGGATTATAAATAAATCTACAAAAAAAATAAATTTATATAATTAAACATATTAATATTATATTTATTTACGGTGCATGAACCCTTCAAGTCAAACCAATATTGCTGATGACACAAAAAATAGAAGATTTATCCTATTTGTTTTATCTTTGATAGAAAAAATGCGCATAACAATGATATAAATGTCTCTTTGTAATTGTTGGACATTAAAATTTTCTCTTTTGTAGAAGAGAAATAATGTAAGTGGAGTAGCGTAGCTATCACTATAATGTTAATATAAAAATATTGAACTTGAGGATTAATGGCAAGCAATACAAGCATCAAACTTGGGCTTTTTGTTTGGACTTCCTAACAAACAGCAAGTTCCACCTCAAAAGTATTAAAGATTTATTAAAAGAACAACAACCGAAATATCACATTTATTAATATTACCTACAAAGATTTGTCTTCCATTTTGTTAAAGAAGATATTACTAATTATTTCACAAGTATGCTCACGTGCAAAGCACGTGCACTATACTAGTCTTAGAAAGTCTATGAGAAAGTCATTATCAAGACTTCAACTGAAGTGCATATATTGTGCACATCCACACATAATATATCTTGTACAGGGAAACGGCGCTACACTAAAACCTTATGAAAGAAGTATTACGTACATTATCACGTTCCATAAATGATGAGGACCCCTAAGCCCTAATAAAAAAGGAGACGCCCATAACCTAGACATCCGTGCAGAAAAAAATTCAAATTTTGAACTAATATTGATTATTCAGATTGTTGTCTTTGAATTAATAAGTCTCTATTTCATGGGTCAGTCTGATACTCATATTTCACTGTTGAATTCCTCACCTCATCATTCTTATCTGATTTTTTACGACATTGATTGCTTATCTATACCACTCGCTTACACTCTTAAGCGCATAATTGTTGCCTGTGCCAGCAAAGAATCAACATAACCTAAAACAAGCAAATTTGAGCATAACTCACAAAATATGGACTCAAGCACTTGATGAAGCAAATAGAAAACCAAAAAAGCATGTAAATTAGGTTAGCTCCCATTTGCTAATATAGATGGTTCTGTAGGTTGAGCCAAATCAAGAGTTGTAAACATTGCCCCCAACTGGAAGGTTATTGTTAATTCCAATTAAAGATTAGGGATCAAGGAAAATGCGAATTTGCACCGCGGTTGATTTAACTATTTCTAAATTAACAGTAATCATCAAGTTATGCTCTGAGCATTTGACAAAACAATGCCAAGTTCTTTCTTCATTTGTTTCTTTATTATTTTCATATGGGTCCTTTCGTGTGTTGAATTCGCAAGGGCTTCGCAGGAAAGAGGAAAATGCAAATGTCATGTGATGAATGAAGATTTTGGAGGGAGAATACCAAATTCTAGAAAAATAAGGAAAGAGCAAGAATGCTAAGGAGATACAAAAGAAATCTCATAGGAGACCAAACCAACACAGTAACAAATAGGTAACAACTTCTATAAGTCCACTGATATTGCATATCTTCAACTTACATGTTGCTATCATCGTCATAATCACTTCTTCCCATCAGAAAGTGGTCCCCATCAAGCAGAACTCCATAACTAGAATTCCCAAAAGAAATTTTAACAAAATTGTATACTATTCCTTGGCTCTCTCCTTAAAGAGCCAAGTTTTAGTCCTGAAAATTATTGGAATGAAATGGGCTTGGCATAAAGCTCAGAGTGCTTGTTACAAGAGGAAAATTTTACCTCAATGACCATGTAATTTAAGCTGACACATTCAAGTATGGGAATGGGCAGGCTCCTAAATCTTAGAATGCTTGTTATTGACTCACTGTTAAGGGCATTAAACCTCGGTGATCATACATACACTTTAAGCTCAAGCAAACAAGGTTCAAGTCCTACAAGATTCTCATAAATTGAGAATCGAGGACTAGAACAATCCTCTTTGAAGTGAAAAGGATGACTTTTGGGCTGCTTTTCACTTCAAAACATATGATACAGTGAATCACATTCCAAACATCATCATCATGTCATCGACAACAACAAAGCCTTTAACCAAAGTTATGGGGTCGGAAACAAAGAATCCTATTCTTCTATTCAGTTTAGCGTTATCTCCCCAGTAAACCTAACCACTAACATATCCTTCATAATTGCACCCAACCAACTTCTTGTGTGCCTATCTCTACTCTTCCTTACTCCATCAATCTAAAACTTTGTCACCTCTCTTGACTAGTGTATTTTGTGGCCAAACCATCACGATCAATTTTCTCTAACCTTATATAAATGCACTTACATATATTTTTTTCTTTGACACATCCCTTAAGAGTATATCCACAAAGAAATGCCTCAGGGACTCCAAAATAGGGGACCTGCATGGGACAGGCGAGGTGTCGCCTCCCTGTCCCGTGATGCATTGTTCACGCCCTATGATGTACTGTTCATGAACAGTGCATCACGGGATAGGGATGCGACACATTATGAACAGTGCATCACGGGACAGGGGAGGCGACATCTCACCTGTCCCATGCAGGGTCCCTATTTTGGGTCCCTGTAGCAGCACTCATTCTCATTTCTGCTACACTCATATTTCGCACATATGTACTGTGGTTCTCAAAATGTTATTCAACATCCGAGGCATAGCATATAAATATTGACTTCAAACATATCTAGACAGAAAAATATTCCTACATCTAACATAAAAATGAGTTCAATACCACACTGATCTACTTGGGTCTCATGAATTTATTACCAGTAAGGAAAATATTACATATACCGGACCAATATGCCTAACTATCAAAATTATTCCAATACAGCAGAAATTTTGCAATGGAAATGAAAAGGGTTTCACTAAACCAAGTCCAATAACAAAAAAACCAACGACCCAGTTCAAATTTTGCAACAAATTTTAACAATCAGATCAAAAATAGCAAAAAAGAGTGCAAAATGGAAGAGGGCTCAGTGACCAAAGATTACCTCCTGAGCTTGGCGTAAGCTTCAGCTCTCCTCTGCTGAATACCAAGAAATCTTCGAAGGAGATCGATGACTTTTGTGGATTTAGATCTATCATCGACGCTTATCGCTTCTACTTTCTTCATCAAATCATCATCTCCCTCACAAACTTCCATTCCTGTTTTTTTATTTTATTATTCCTCTCTCCTTTTCCCCCTTCTTCTTTCTTTGGTCGTAAATAAATCGCTTCGAAAGAGAAACTCGTTTCTAATTGGATATGCATATGGATCTTTACAGATCCAAACCCAATAATAATCCAAACGAGAGAGAGAAGCAAGTAGGCAAAAGTTTTACAAATTCCCCAAATTATAGGTGTTTTTATGTTTACACTCCAATTTATTGCAACTACTAATTTCTCCACGTTTTTTTTCTTTATTTTTAACCCAACAGTTAAATAATCTGGTTAAAGTATTTAATATTGTATTTTATTAAACTGCTTTAATTTTAGTACAAGTTATTAAATTAACTTTATTTAGGGAAAAATGTGTACAGGTCCCAAAAGCAGAAACTTCATGTGACGAGGCCCTTCATAGTTTTCCCCATGTGGATCAGCCCCTTGATGTGTAACACTTTGTACTACAGCCTCTTTTTATCCATTATTACATGTCAGCTAAGCTAAAATCCCCAAATTATCCTTATCCTCTCTCCTCAATCCCTCAGATCTAGCACTCATATTCTCTCTCTCTCTCTCATCTCCTCTCTCTCTCTCTCTCTCTCTCTCTCTCTCTCCTTTCTCTAAAACTAAGAGCTTTCTCAAGCTTGTCGCCCTCCTCGCCCTCGCCGCCTCCGCTCAGGCCCCCAAGGCTCCCCTCGAGTTCACCGCCGCCTCCCCTCTCCTCCTCTGCCCGTCCTCGTCGCCGTAGATCGCCGCCGCTCCCCCGCCGTAGATCGCCGCCGCAGAGCTTGAGGAAAACGCTCGAAAAGCTCGGGCAATTGCAGATTGTTGAGGAGTGCAGGGAGATGATTCGAATGTATGATGTTAATGGAGATGGTGTTTTATGCTTTGATGAATTTAAGAAGATGATGCTACAAGAGTAGGTTGGTTTTTGAGATTGATCTTTACCGTAAATGATGATGTTGTTGTGCCCCGTTGAGATTTGGACATTACTTTTTCTTTTTTTTTTATTTGAGATGACTTTGATCAATTGAGGGTTCATGTTGACAATATATCTACGTTTTTAATTTCTCACACGACTGTGGATTTATCCTTATGAGCTTCTGTATTTGCAAATTGTGATCGATTCTGTTGTGGATGTTTTTTTAGTCACCAAACCGAGACGCACAGAGCATTAATCCATTAGCTAGAAGAAGAAAAGAAAAAAAAGGAAAAAAAAAAGAAAAAGAAGAAAGAAAGGTAAGGAGAAGTAGAGTAGAAGAGGAATGAAGAGAAATGTCGTAATTAAGAAAGAACGAAAATGTGTATTAATGTATCTCTATGAATGAAATGCCCCATGTTAGTTCTAGCTAGTTCTAACTCTAATTCATCTTAGTTCTAGGTTCTTAGGCTCTCAAGTTAGTTCTAACTTGCCCCATGTTAGTTCTAACCCGTCTCATGTTAGTTCTAGCCCGTCCCATGTTAGTTCTAGCTAGTTTTAGCTCTAATTCATCTTAGTTCTAGGCTCTTGGGAACGGAAAAAAGCTCTTCCCATCTCCGACGGAGCCCACCGAGACATCCCGATGACCCCGGCAACCTCCTCCCACCTCCGGCAAGTCCGGACAGTGGCAAAAAGCTCCGAACAGCGAAGAACAAACCCCAACGGCGAGAAATTACACTACAGAAAACTACAGTTTTGTGCCGACTTTGCACGCACTTTCCGATCACCTCCAATCTCCGTTTCCTCCGATTTCTTCTTTGGTGACTAGTCTTACATGTTGCCTATCACCTCCAATTTGTATCACACTCTAACTCATTCTCTATCTCTCTCGGTAACGTCCGAAACATCACTCGACGGCATCAGCGAGCAGAAAACAGCAGCGTCATGCCGACTTCGCGCGCGTTTTCCAGCCACCTTCGGTCTCCGTTTGGTATCTTCCTTTTACTTGGGCTCATTTTCTACTTCTCGTTATATCGCTTCGAATATTATTAGTTCTAACTAGTTCTAGCTCTAATTCATCTTAGTTCTAGGCTCTTGGGCTTTCAAGTTAGTTCTAACTTGCCTCATGTTAGTTCTAGCATGTCCCATGTTAGTTCTAGCCCGGCCCATATTAGTTCTAGCTAGTTCTAGATCTAATTCATCTTAGTTCTAGGCTTTTGAGCTCTCAAGTTAGTTCTAACTTGCCACATGTTAGTTCTAACACACCTCATGTTAGTTCTAGCTCATCTTATGTTAGTTATAGCTAGTTCTAACTCTAATTCATCTTAGTTCTAGGCTCTTGGAAAAGGAGAAAAACTCCTCCCACCTCCGACGGAGCCCACCGAAACACCCCAATGACCCCGGTAACCTCTTCCCACCTTCGACAAGCCCGGACAGCGGCGAAAAGCTCCGAACAGCGAAGAACAAACCCGAACAGCGAGAAATTGCACTGCAAAAAACTACAGTTTTGTGTCGACTTCGTACGCACTTTCCGATCATATCCAATCTCCTTTTCCATCGATTTCTTCTTTGGTGATTATCCCTACATGTTGCCTATTACCTCCAATTTATATCACACTCTAACTCATTCTCTATCTCTCTCGGTAACGTCCTAAACATTGCTCGACGGCAGCAGCGAGCAGAAAACAGCAGCGTCGTGCCGACTTCGCGCGCGTTTTCCGGCCACCTCCGGTCTGCGTTGTCACCACCATCTTCGCCGATGTGTAGCCCTTTATATTGTCTATCACAAGATATCTCCCTTTCACTTGGGCTCATTTTCTACCTCTTGTTATATCACTTCGAATATTATTAGTTAGAACTAATATGAATTAGAGTTAGAACTAGCTAGAACTAACATGAGGCAGACTAGAACTAACATGGATCGGGTTAGGACTAATATGTGGTAAGTTAGAACTAACTTAAGAGTTCAAGAGCCTTAACTAAGATGAAGTAGAGCTAAAACTAGCCAGAACTAATATGGGACAGGCTAGAACTAACATGAGGTGGGTTAGAACTAATATGAGACAAGTTAGAACTAACTTGAGAGCTCAAGAGCCTAGAACTAAGATAAATTAGAGCTAGAACTAGTTAGAACTAATATGGGATGGGATAAAACTAATATGGGACGGACTAGAACTAACATGGGGCAAGTTAGAACTAACTTGAGAGCCCAAAAGCCTAGAATTAAGATGAATTAGAGCTAGAACTAGTTAGAACTAACAATATTCGAAGCGATATAACAAGGAGTAGAAAATGAGCCCAAGTAAAAGAAAGATATTGTGTGATAGAAAATATAAATGGCTACACACTGGCGAAGACAGTGGTAAAAACAAAGACCGGAGGTGGCTGAAAAACGCGCGTGAAGTCGTCACGGCGCTGCTGTTTTCTACTCCCACCTCAACAGCGTCGTGCCGACTTTGCGCGTGTTTTTCGGCCACCTCCGGTCTCCGTTTTTACCATCGTCTTTGCCAGTGTGTAACTCTTTATATTGTCTATCACACGGTATCTTCCTTTCAATTGGGCTTATTTTCTACTTCTCGTTATATCGCTTCGAATAGTGTTAGTTCTAACTAGTTCTAGCTCTAATTCATCTTAGTTTTAGGTTCTTGGGCTCTCAAGTTAGTTCTAACTTGCCCCATGTTAATTTTAACCCACCACATGTTAGTTCTAGCTCGCCCCATATTAGTTCTAGCTAGTTTTAGCTCTAATTCATCTTAGTTCTAGGCTCTTGAGCTCTCAAGTTAGTTCTAACTTGCCCCATGTTAGTTCTAACTCACCCGATGTTAGTTCTAGCCCATCCCATGTTAGTTCTAGCTAGTTCTAGCTCTAATTCATCTTAGTTAAGGCTCTTGGGCTCTCCTCTCAAGTTAGTTCTAACTTACCTCATGTTAGTCCTAACCAGCCCCATGTTAGTTCTAGCCCGTCTCATGTTAGTTCTAGCTAGTTCTAATTTTAATTCATATTAGTTCTAACTAACAATATTCAAAGTGATATAACAAGAGGTAGAAAATGAGCTCAAGTGAAAGGAAGATATCTTGTGATAGACAATATAAATGGCTACACACCGGTGAAGATGGTGGTGAAAACAGAGACCGGAGGTGGCCAAAAAACGCGCGCGAAGTCGGCACGACGCTACTGTTTTCTACTCGCTCCTGCGGTCGAGCGATGTTTCGGACGTTACCGAGAGAGATAGAGAATGAGTTAGAACGTGATACAAATTGGGGGTGATAGGCAACATGTAGGGCTAGTCACTAAAAAAGAAATCGACAGAAAAGGAGATTGGATATGATCGAAAAGTGCGTGCAAAGTCGACACAAAACTGTAATTTTCTACAGTGCAATTTCTCGCTGTTCGGGTTTGTTCTTCGCTATTCGGAGCTTTTCGCTGCTATCCGGGCTTGTCGGAGGTGGGAGGAGGTTGCCGGGGTCGTCGGGGTGTTTCGGTAGGCTCCGTCGGAGGTGGGAGGAGCTTTTCTCCTTTCCTAAGAGCCTAGAACTAAGATGAATTAGAGTTAGAGCTAGTTAGAACTAACATGGGGTGGGCTAGAACTAACATGGGGTGTGTTAGAACTAACATGGGGCAAGTTAGAACTAACTTGAGAGCTCAAAAGCCTAGAACTAAGATGAATTAGAGCTAGAACTAGCTAGAACTAATATGGGGCGGGCTAGAACTAATATGGGGTGGACTAGAACTAACATGGGGCAAGTTATAACTAACTTGAGAGCCCAAGAGCCTAGAACTAAGATGAATTAGTGCTAGAACTAGTTAGAACTAATAATATTCGAAGTGATATAAAAAAAGTACAAAATGAGCCCAAGTAAAAGGAAGATACCGTGTGATAGACAATATAAAGGGCCACACACCGGTGAAGACGATGGTGAAAACGGAGACCGGAGGTGGCCGAAAAACGCGCGCGAAGTCGGCACGACGCTGCTGTTTTCTGCTCACTGATGCAGTCAAGCGATGTTTCGGATGTTACCAAGAGAGATAGAGAATGAGTTATAGTATGATACAAATTAGAGGTGATAGACAACATGTAGGACTAGTCACCAAAGAAAAAATCGGCGGAAACGGAGATTGTAGGTGATCGAAAAGTGCGTGTGAAGTCGGCACAAAACTGTAGTTTTCTGTAGTGATATTTCTCGCTGTTCGGGTTTATTCTTCACTGTTTGGAGCTTTTCGCCACTGTCCGAGCTTACCGGAGGTAGGAAGA